TCAATTTGGAGTTAAATGCACTTGACCTTAGTGCCATGAACCTAATTGTTTTCTCTGAGCCCACAATAACAAACATGAAGAAAAAAATATGAATGGATGTAGGTGAATTTCTTTTTATATATTTTTTATGGATTTTTCACAGAGAGGAAGGGAGAGGGATAGAGAGTTGGAAACATCGATGGAGAGAGAAACATTGATCAGCTGCCTCCTGCACACCCCCTACAGGGGATGTGCCCACAACCAAGGTACATGCCCTTAGTCGGAATTGAACCTGGGACCTTTCAGTCCGAAGGCTGACGCTCCATCCACTGAGCCAAACCGGTCAGGGCCCACCTGATTTTTCTATTCCTCTACTCTGTCTTCACAGTTAGTGCTATGCAAAGGTGGCTCCTTTTATTTCTAAAACTAGAGGCCCTGTGCACAAAAATTCATGCACTTGGGACGGGGGTGTCCCTCAGTCTGGCCTGGCCCTCTCACAGTCCAGGAGCCCTCAGGGAAACGGGCCCAAGCCGCAGTCTGGCCTCCCTCTGCAGGAGGTGACCAGGTGGGCCAGTCAGGGGACTGGTGCAGGTGGTGATCAGCTGGCTCCACCCCCCATTGCGCCACTGCCACCTGTGGCCTCCTTCTGCAGGAGGCATTTCCAGCGGGCCAATCTGGGGATGGCGAGCGGTGGGCCCCGCCCTGTATCGGCCCGCCACCATGGCCAGTGGCTTCCCTCTGCAAGAAGGCCTACAGGAGGTGACCCTGGACTGATGGGGGAAGGCGCCAGGCAGCCCTGCCCCGAATCACCCCACCACCTGTGGCCTCCCTCTGTGGGAGGCCACCAGGCAGACGATCAGGGGATGGCGTTGCTCCATAACCCCACCTCTGGTCACTGCCACCCCCCACCCCACCCGTCCCCTCCCTCTGCCCGCTGGCATGCACCTTGGCTGGCCTGGCACCACCTGCTCACCGGCCCTGCCCCCCACGGACCCATAGTTCCACCGATCAGTCAATTTGCATATTATACCTTTATTATATAGGATGACTACAACTCTAAAGACCCCACCATCTAGAAGTACACAGAGAAGCCTCCATCAAACCTCTCCTCATGTCTTAATGGCCCAAACTGGATCACCTGCCTGATCCTGACTCCCCCATTAGTTGAGCGAATGCCAGACCTGAACCAGTCATTAGTGCAGTGCAGATGGGATTACATAGCCAGTGCAGAGATCACACCCCTGGAACTTCAGATTAAATCAGATCCGACTCAAACTCCATGACTGCTATGGCATATGGAGGAAGTGGAGGGAACTGGGGAGACAGCCAGAATGTCCAAAAATGACTGTATGTGTCAAATTTAGTGTTCATCAGAACTACTTGGAGGGCTTGTTAAAACTCTGAATGCAGGAACCCACCTCTGAGAGTTTGTGTTTCAGTAGATTTGGTGTGGGTCTCAAAAATTTGCATTTCTAACAAATTCCCAGGTGATGTTGATGCTTTTGGTCAGGGCCACGCATGGAGAGCCAGTGTGGTTTACGTAAACTTCATTATCTATCATTTCTGGAAAAGTGGGACAGATTAATAAAGTTATTTCATGTTTTTTCTTGTGGTTCCCTTCACATTGCTTCCTTTGATCTCCCACCTGATACTTTCTAGACAAATGTTAGGGCTCATAAATTACATGTGTTTGCAAATGCTCTATAAAAGTAGGACGTACTCATGGACACAACTTAGAAGAGAGCAGACAACTGTGTAATCAAGTACATCTCCAAGATGGGACTTGCTAAGGGCTGGGTACAGAAGTCAAACTTTATCTAACAGTAAAATTTACTTGACTGACGGTGATACAGAGAAACAGTTCATTTTATTGTTAACGTCCTGTATTTGTGCCTTTGTTTCAGGAAATCAAAGCAATGAAGAAAAGAATGAGTGAGCTGTGCATTGACTTCAACAAAAACCTCAATGAGGATGATACCTTCCTTATATTTTCCAAGGCTGAACTTGGTAAAATGTTGTTATTTTTCTAAACGAAATTCTGTAATTTAGGCAGATGATGTCACCTCACAATTTGGCAGGTCAACGTTACAAGACTTCTTTAAAAAATGATCCACTCTCTTCTATAGAACCCACCATCTTTTCTACAGAAAAGACCAACAAGCCATTTTTAGATTATAGGCTAATGAGAGTGTATACTGTTTCTGGAGACAGTCCTGAGAAGATTTCGTAATCTTTCTTGGTTAACAGCCTTCAGTGCCTTGAAAAATTTTTTGCCCCACAGTGTCCCCTACATTGTAACTGAAACTAGTCTCTTCTTATTCTGTTCTGGATCTTGCTTGGTTTAATTTTCCTGTTCTCCATCAAACCAGCACTGAAGCCTGTGCATATTTTGGATTAGCATCTCCTGAGACACCTGTTCTCTAACCACCACCTACATGAGATTATAAGAATTGTCATCATTTTACTTGAATTTTAATTACTCCACAAAATTCCTCGAGTTCTTAATGGCACCATGCCAATGCTAAATTAATCAATAATGAGTGGAAAACTTGATGTATGAGAGAATTTCTTGCAGGTGCTCTTCCTGATGATTTCATTGATAGTTTAGAAAAGACAGATGATGACAAGTACAAAATTACCTTAAAATATCCACACTATTTTCCTGTCATGAAGAAATGTTGTATCCCAGAAACCAGAAGGAAGATGGAAATGGCTTTTAATACAAGGTGCAAAGAGGTACTTATAAATTTTTGTCTTTGTTTATTTGTTGTTATGGAGGACTTTAAGAAAAGGGTTTGCTTTATTAACCAATGTTGAAGTCAGCTCTGAGACTAATATTCTTATTTGTGAGCATTATGCTTCCTAATTCCTCAGACCTAGAATTTTAGCTTTTTCCTTGCCCATTGACAACCTCCCTTGTCTGGCCACAGGTTAAACTATTCTAATGAAAATAGAATGGATTAAATAAACTAAAAGTTGTATTCTTCTCCCAAGTCAATAGTCCAGGGCTAGTAGGGCATCTCTCTCTCTCTTTCCTCAGCAAGTGACTTCCAAGGGCATTTCAGTTGTCATCTTCCCAATCTGTTGGAAAGAAGGAAAATAAAGTACAGTGAAAGTATCTTTGAGAAAAAGACCTAGAGCCCAGCCATTGTGACTCAGTGGTTGAGCGTCGACCTATGAACCAGGAGGTCACAGTTCGATTCCTGGTCAGAGCACATGCCCAGATTGCAGGCTCCATCCCCAATATGAAGCATGTAGGAGGCAGCCAACCAATAATTCTCTCTCATTGATGTTTCTATCTCTTGCTCCCTCTTCCTCTCTGAAATCAATAAAAATATATTAAAAAAAGAAAAGGACCTAAAAATGACAAAAATCAGTTGCACATTGCATTGACCCAAATTCCATTATATAGCTACTAGAGGCCCAGTGCACGGATTCATGCACATTGAAAGGAAATTCATTAGAGGGTGGCCAGTGGGGCGGGACTGAGCAAGACGGATTGGACATGCCCTGGAGCCAACCTCCCAAGGTCCCTCCTCCACCAGCCGCACCTGGGGGGTGCCAAGGCTCAAAGGGCATTTGCGGAGTGAGTGGGATCCCTCCAGCAGGTGGGGTTCCTCTGCCTGGCCTGCGGGTATCAGGCCAAAACCAGCAGTCTGACATCCCCTGTGGAGTCCCGGAGTGCAAGAGGATACTCTGCAAAGTTGCTGTCACTCAGCAGCTCCTGCATTGAGTGTCTGCCCCCCGGTGGTCAGCATACTGGGCAGTTGGCTAGTTGCTTAGCCTTTTATATATATAGATATCTAGCTATAAGGGAGGCTAGGAAATAGAGTCTTCAATTGGTAGCCATTTGTTCAACTGAGTGGATTCTATTACTAAAAGGAAGAATTAGAAATGGATTTTAAGAGTCAGGTGACCAGTTGCACCACAGTCTATCCAAGTAACATGAGCACATTTCCCCCATTCACCACGTGTCAGATCCCAACCAGTTATTGCCTTGAGCTCAAAGACTAAGCTCTATCCGTGATAGACAGTCCTCCCCAGTTGTAGCTTCTCATGATGTAGCAGCCAATGAAAAGGAAAACAACTTGTCTGGCCCACTCACCCAACACACACACCCAGTGGTAGAATAGGAACAGAATAACCACAATAAAAAAACTCCCACTTGGAGTAGGAGAGAATGGGATACATAGCAGGCCTTCCAACGTTCAAAAACAGTTTGGCAGGAATTATAAGGATTCTGAGTCTGGGAAGTTCCTGGCATAGCCCATTGGACTTATTTTGGGTCTCTTTTCAAGCAGGGATTCCTTTAACAATTATATCCATGGCCTCTTGTTTTACCTGCAGGGAATTCTTTAACAGTTATATCCATGGCCTCTGGTTTTACCTGCAGGGAATTCTTTATTGTTCATTACCCCCCACAACCACATTGTGGGCGGCTGCTAGCATAGATTCCTGCCGATACCAGCTCAAAGCCCAAGAGTTGCTTTAGAAATCAAATAATCATAAGCTTTTGTAGGCCAGGCTTATATCTTTGGTAATAAAATCTAATAAAAAACTTAGTAAGTTTTCTGTCTGTTTGCTTCCAATCAGATTCATGTTAAAAAATAGCTATACATGTCCTGGCTGGTTTTCTCAGGGATTAGAGCATCTGACCAAAGGGTCTAGGGTTCAATTCCCAGTGAAGGGCACGGTACCTCAGTTTCAGGTTCGATCCCCAGCATGGTTGAGTGGGGAGCAACCAATCAATATGTCTCTCTCAGATCAATGTTTCTCGCTCTCTCTCTCTCCTTCCTTCTTTTCCCTCCCTTCCACTCTGTCTGAAAATCAATGGGAAAAAATATACTCGGATGAAGATTTAAAATAATAATGATAAATAACTGTGACTTTTCTTAAACCTACCAAATGTTTTCTAATATATGGGTTCCTGTATCATGTCCCTCCTGTTCTTCCTCAATTTAATAGTGCCCGTTTCAGTGCTGAAATAGCAGGCTTGAGCAGGGAGACAGCCTTCTCAACCAAGACTCCACAGTTCAATAACTCCAAGTCTTTGCTCCTGACATTAGGATGCAGGGGAACTGGCTTTTCCAGCAACCCAAGGCCCTAGCCCAGCCGTGGGCAAACTATGGCCCGCAGGCTGGATCCGGCCCATTTGAAATGAATAAAACTAAAAAAAAAGACCGTACCCTTTTATGTAATGATGTTTACTTTGAATTTATATTAGTTCACACAAACACTCCATCCATGCTTTTGTTACGGCCCTGGCCCTCCGGTCCAGTTTAAGAACCCATTGTGGCCCTCGAGTCAAAAAGTTTGCCCACCCCTGCCCTAGACTGTGGGCCACAGGCAGAACCTCTCTCAACAAACCTCTTTTCCTTCCGTCTTGCAAACTGACCAATTCTCACTTAAGCACATCTTTCTCATGTAATTTCCATAAAAGCAAAAAATACCAGCAAACACACAACAACGTTATTAGTTTTCCCAAACAATTCCCCTCTCTAAGACTCAGTAGGTATTTGGCCTACGTTCCAAATTACAGCACGCAACAGTTTTAACAAATGGGACCTCTGGTGTAATGAGGAATACCAGCTTCCCAGCCTGCGGTGTCTGTGTGCTCATCCTCACCTTCCACTCCTGTACATTTTTTCATTTTGTTTTAGCAGCACTCTATTCCTAATGTCAGTCCTCGGGATGTTAGGGTATAGTTTCAGCAACTGTACAAGAGTCCAGCAAAAGCACAGAGACTCAAATAAAAGTTACTTCTCTTCAGAAAGCATTAATGGTTACCGGGGCTGGGGAGCCTGGGGCGTTATTTCTTAATGGTTACCAAGTTTCTCTGTGGGGTGTTGGGTACGTTTTGGAAGCAGATAGTGGTAATGGCTGCACAGCAGTCTGAATGGAATTAGTGCCACTGAATTATACACTTAAAAATGGTTAAAATGGCATATTTTATGTTACATATTTGACCACATTTTTTTTTAAAGGTTTATTTCTCTTAGAACTAACAGTACAGAGGTGAGTGGTCCAGAGCTGGAGGACAGCTCTGCCATCCTCAGTATGTGGCCTTCAGGGTCATTGTTGCGGTCTTCAGTTCACAGCTAGCAAGACAAGCATCTACAAAGAGATGACCCAGAAACTTCAATCATCACCTCATTCATATTCCACTGTCCTACAACCAGCTTTAAGGAAGTCTGGGAAAAGTAGTCAGGTGACCTATGTGTCTGGCAAAAACTCAGAGAATTCTAGTGTCATAGGTTTGCCATCACTGCACTAGGAGGAAGAGTGGGGGAATAGATATTGGGAAGAAATTGGCAGTGTTAATTTTAGAACTTGGAGAATTATGCCATGTGTTTCTCTTATTGATGTTTCCATTCCAATTTTAAAATAAGGGGAATTTAACATAATTATGTAGTATCGGCTCTTGTACCAGGCACTTTTCTATATACTTTACATATATTTTCATTAGACTCTTCATTGCACCCTGTGATTTAGCTGCTTTCATTATATGTACTTATATGTGTTTTAACAGATAAGAAAACTGAGGCTTAGAAAGTAACTTAAGGGACTTGTCAACAGTCAGACAACTAGTAAGTGGTGGAGCGAAATTTGGAATCTAGATAGACTGCTGTGGCGTGTGATCTTCCTTAGAAGCACGTCTATTAAAAAATTGCTCATTTAATCATTGGGAGTAGTAGTTCTTTGACTTCAATGTCTATTTACTTTTTCTTTTATTGTTTAAAAATGTTACGCTAAATGAAGTAAGCCAGACACAAAAGGACAAATATTGTATGATTCCACTTACATGAGGTTCCTAGAGTAGTCAAATTCATAGAGACAAAAAGTAGAATGATGGATGCCAGGGGCTGGGGGTATAGGGAATGGGGATTAGGATTTAATAGATTCAAAGTTTTAGTTGGGAAACATGTAAAAGCCTGGAGATAAGACTATCATTATTTGTATTCTTAATACAAATATAATATAGAAAATGTTTGTAATAATTTGAGAAAAATCCCTGAAATATTTTTAAGTGTAGAGTTCTGTGGCATTAAATATATTCACGATGTTGTACAACCAGCACCACCATACACCCTCAAGTTTTATCCATGTTTTAGCATGTGTCAAAAGCTCTTTTTAAGGCTGAATCATATTTTATTGTATGTATATGCCACATTTTCCTTATCCGTTTATCCATTGCTGGACATTCGGGTTGCTTCCACCACTTAGCTGTTATTCACATAATGCTGTAGTGAACATTGTAGGACAAATACCTGTTTGAGTCCTTGTTTCCACTTTTTTGGGATCTATGCCCACAAGTGGAATTGCTGGAACATATAGTAATTCTCTGTTTAAATTTTTTTTTTGAGGAATCCCAGTACTGTTTTCCACAGCAGCTGCACCTTGACATTCCCATCAGTAATGCACAGATTTCAAATTTTCCTCATCCTCGTCAACACTTATTATTTTCTGGTGGGTTTTTTTTTAATAATAGTCAGACTATCATTAAAAAATAGGCTATTAGTATGGCTAAATTTTGTGTTACATATATGCTACCATAATGAAAAAACAACGTAGGTATCAATATGTGGTACAGGCTTCACTCTTGTCCTTAAGAATACATTTTCACTCTAAGTTTACAGTACCTAAAATTTTGTTAAGACCTCATAACTAGCCGAAACCGGTTTGGCTCAGTGGGTAGAGCGTCGGCCTGCGGACTGAAAGGTCCCAGGTTCGATTCCGGTCGGGGGCATGTACCTTGGTTGCAGGCACATCCCCAGTAGGTGTGCAGGAGGCAGCTGATCGATGTTTCTCTCTCATCGATGTTTCTAACTCTCTCTCTCCCTTCCTCTCTGTAAAAAATCAATAAAATATATTTTTTTTAAAAAAAGACCTCATAACTAAAAACAAACAAACAAACAAAAAAACCAACAATCTCATAACTAGGTTGAAAAAGTCCGTTAATTCAGAAATACAGTTGGATCGGGAATTTTAAATAAACTCTAACACTGAAATGAAATAACTTATTAGAAGTTGAGATGGTCTAAAAATATTTGACACTTTTACCAACCTGAAAATAAATATAATAACTCTTTCAGTGCTTTGGATCCAATTAATTATTTTTATTCAATTAATTTTTAATGTTTGTTTTTGTTGTTATTGTTTATTACTAGGAAAACACCAAAATTCTACAGCAGCTACTCCCACTGCGGGCCAAAGTCGCCAAGCTACTCGGCTATAGCACACATGCTGACTTTGTCCTTGAAATGAACACTGCGAAGAGCACAAGCCGTGTAACAGCCTTCCTAGGTTAGGTCTCTTTAACTTATTTATTAGTTCTGTAATTCCATTTCTGTGACTGTTTTGCTGCATGATACCCACTTGACAGAGAGCCCTTAGCCTAGCCATGGGCAAACTATGGCCCACGGGCCGGATCCGGCCCGTTTGAAATGAATAAAACTAAAAAAAAAAAAGACCGTACCCTTTTATGTAATGATGTTTACTTTGAATTTATATTAGTTCACACAAACACTCCATCCATGCTTTTGTTCCGGCCCTCCGGTCCAGTTTAAGAACCCATTGTGGCCCTCGAGTCAAAAAGTTTGCCCACCCCTGCCTTAGACTCTAATATGCTTTTGAGGACATTCTATTTTTTATTCATTCAAGAGAAACTTATTGATCACCTACTATATATTAGATACTGTGTTTGATTCTAAGGGTTTCCCATTGTTTATATTACTAAGGTAGTCCTTGCTTCATTCTGTATTGTGTCTTGATTGGGATTTTTATACTAATGTCTAACAAAACATCTAGGGTCCTAACAGCAAATATTAGCTTATTGGCTTTGTTTGCTACTATTTGGTGATTATAGTTATAGTGTAGCTAATTATGAGCTTATATGAAATAAGCTGACAAATGTGACATAAATAAAACATTATAATCCAAAAAAATAAACATTTTATAGTCTAGAAGCCACTTACTATATACAAAAGCAATATAAATATGCATCAAAACTATTATCTAATAACTATATTCACATTTATTTAAAACCACTTTCACTAAACTTTTTAAAACCATGATTCTTATGTCCATGATATTGAGTCACTGGTACTCTATCACTCTTGCCCATCTCTATCTCAACCAAGGTGTCACTACTACAAGAGTCACTCTGTTTATCTCTCTCATTGTAGTGAAAGTGGTTGAATAACAACCAAGGTATAAACACTGATTTTTATTGCAATAAAAATCAGTGTTATACCTTTTTAACTTTCCTCATTGACCTGTTTCAGACTTTATTCACCTTTAACAACTAGTCAAAGTATGTAGTCTGTTACTTTGGTATTTTTTTATTAGCTAATTGAGTTAGAAATTACTAATAATGCCTTAAAATAAGCCTTCAGCCCAAGATTTACTTCTCTATGTCCTAAATGGCCATACCTGGCATTACTAATGTATATGCTGGCATCAGATATGACTTGTAGCAGATGCACCATAAATGGTAGTTATTTGTTATTATATAATTGATTTATTCATCCATGAGACATTTAGGAAATCACTATTCTGCATTAGGCAGTATTCTAAATGGTAAACCATAAAAAGGAATAAAACGAGGTTCTTTTCTCAGTGAGTTTTCCCTGAGTGGAAATAACAGAGATGTGAATAAGTAATTGCCATATATTCTGATGTATGTTGTACAGAAAATGACTCAAGGAGTTAACACTTTTGATGAAAATGCTTTCTTAGTTGTAACTGCACATACTGAAAAATTTCCTTAAGAACTACCTGATTAACTTAATTTCTTTAAAGTCATTTCCCTCTCATTTAAAATTGGCATATGTCCATCTGGGTTGTCCTCTTGCTACCTGTACTTTCATATTCTCTGGCAGGCCCACTCAGAATTATCTCATGTATCTTCTAGGCATTTCCTTCTTTCTCTTCACCTCATTCCTCAGGCTCTTGTCTTCACCTCACAATTTCCATGTCCCTTACAGAGCCAAACACGTTTATCTTATATATGTAACAGATTGTGAGGAATTAATACATAAATATAGCATATTCATTGAGCCAAATACAGTAAAATAGTCCAAAATAGACTACAGTATATAAATTGTGGTATCCATCTAAAACGTGGAATTACTGTGTCCAAAGAGTCCTTCTTCATAGGAATTGGGTAGTGAAACATACTAAACCCATGGCCATCAAAGGCATTGAGCAATTTTTAGTAATACTAGTCACGGGTTACATTTGATTTATTTTCCCTGCCTTTCTGAGAAGCCTAATCTTCTTGAAGAATAATCATGTATATGAGTTTAGTTTCACTATTCCTTTTTCCCCTGAATTAGAAAATTTGTGAGTCAGAGTTCCCTGAGATAAACTTCAGTTTTGTTTATGCCGTGAGGAAGTCATGGCCTAGTTTGGGTGGTGCTAAAAGAAAAAGGGCTGTAGCTGGTTTGGCTCAGTGGATAGAGCATCGGCCTGCAGACTGAAGGGTCCCAGGTTCGATTCCGGTCCGGGGCATGTACCTTGGTTGCGGGCACATCCCCAGTGGGAGGTGTGTAGGAGGCAGTTGATTGATGTTTCTCTCTCATCGATGTTTGACTATCTCTCTCCCTTCCTCTCTGTAAAAAAATCAATAAAATATATTTTTTAAAAAAATAAAAGAAAAAGGGGTGAGGACACATAACATAAATTACCTTAAAGAGAACAATAGTGCTGTCATAATAGAGTCTGCTTTCTTTTCCTTCCCTTCCTCACCCCCACTCTCCCTCTGTAGAAAGCACCATGCTGAAGCACAGGTATGTATGAACATGCTTGCTCCTAAGAGCAATAGATCATTGACTTTTCCCCCTTCCCTTACAGATGATTTAAGCCAGAAATTAGAACCTTTGGGTGAGGCAGAACGAGAGTTTATTTTGAATTTGAAGAAAAAGGAATGTGAGGAGAGAGGTTTTGAATATGATGGGAAAATCAATGCCTGGGATCTGCATTACTACATGACTCAAACAGAAGAACTCAAGTACTCCATAGACCAAGAGATCCTCAAGGAATACTTCCCAATTGAGGTGGTCACCGAAGGCTTGCTCAATATATACCAGGAGTTGTTGGGACTCTCATTCGAGCAAGTGGCAGGTGCTCATGTGTGGAATAAAAACGTTACACTCTACACTGTGAAGGACAAAGCCACAGGAGAAGTATTGGGACAGTTCTACTTGGACCTCTATCCAAGGTACTGATGACCATATTGTTGGAAGAGACTTTAGGGATTCAACTCCTATCCAGATTATCACTATTGTCTTCCGTAGATCTCTTGTGTGGTTTTAGTAAAGGGAATAAAGATGTGGGCTCTGAAGCCAGAAGGTCTGGCTCCATTCCCTGATAGACAGGTTCTTAATGTTTCTGTGCCTTAGTTTCGTAACCAATATTACAGGTCCTATAAAATGGGAATACTAATCCAGGTTTTTTTTTAAGTTGCTTGAAGTTTCCTTCCTCTCTCTCCTTGGGGGCACCTGTCTTAGATTGTATGTTAGTTGATTGCCATTCAACCTCTGCTTTCTGAAGGATTCAAGAAAAGGTGTGATTTGCAGATTGTCCCGCATGTTATTGTTGTAAGGATAGGAGCAGTAAATGCCCTTTCCAGCAATAAATGCCCTTTATACATTGTAACAGGTAGCTGGAAAAAGATAAGTGTGTGTTTTTTAAAACCTCAATAGCATCAGCAGAAAAAAAACCCAAGAGGAATGAGTCACCAAGAAAAGTTAATACAGAAAAATACATACAAATAAAATTAAAAATTTCACCCAAACCTGACAGTCCTGTTAGCCTCCTAGCAAAAAAAGAAAAACAAAAAAGAAAGAGGAGGAGAAGGAGGAAAAAACCTGGTCCTAGAATAAAGTCTAATAGCCATTAGCTTTTGGAGAGATCCTCACTGACAACTTATTGTCTAAGAATAGTCAACTTTATAGTATAATTCATGCTTTTCCCCAGGCTAACAAAAAGCATTCTATTTCAAAAAGACTTGTGAAGTTTATCAAGGGAGTTCATTTAATTGTGAACACTGATTCTTCCTTCCCTCCTTGAATAAAACGAACAATCTTACTGTATGGAATTTGGTTTTTATCAATTCTATTTTTAAAGGAAAACTACCTCATAAATCAAACTGTACCTTGTAGCTCAGATTTCTTCAACACTATTTAGTGTTTAATGACTCCATTTTTTATTGCATTTATTGGGATGACATTGGTTAATAAATTGTGACTCCGTCTTCGAAGATGAAAAGCATGAGCTCATTAAAATAAGTTGGACATGTAATCGGGGGGTGAACACAGAATACAATATACAGATGATGTGTTATAGAATTGTTCGCCTGAAACCTATATAATTTTATTAACCAATGTCACCCCAATAAATTCCATAAAATAAGCAAACAGATAAAATAAGTTGGACATTCAGCCATACACTATATATTCTTAGTTCTGATATTAAGATTTTTCAACAAAAGAAACCTTGGAATAATAACTCATATGACGTGATAGTTGGGTTTTTGTATGTTTAGTTTTAGTTTTTCCATTTGAATACAATGTTGATCTCCTTTCTAAAAGGTGAATTAAATGTTTTGAAGCCTCTTCTACCAAATATGTATCAAATATGACTTAATGACTGAGAGAGGCCAGGGCAATCTTGTTAGAGAACGGCATTCATCTCTCATAGATTGCACTTCTGGTTCCCAGGGAAGGGAAGTACAACCATGCGGCGTGCTTTGGTCTCCAGCCTGGCTGCCTCCTCCCCGACGGGAGCCGCATGATGTCGGTGGCAGCCCTTGTGGTGAACTTCTCACAGCCCCTCGCAGGTCGTCCCTCCCTCCTGAGGCACGATGAGGTGAGGACTTACTTCCATGAATTCGGTCATGTCATGCATCAGATTTGTGCCCAGGTGAGTGCCAAATGCTTTTTCAAATGTTTTTTCTCACTGCAGTTGGGTTGCTCCCCTTAACATGGTTTTTCAGAAGCTGAACATGGTCAAGAATTTCTCAGGCCTCTTGCAAAAATACAAAATCTTTCTGATTGGGTCTGTTTCACAGCATATTTTTTCTTGGACGTGGACTCACTGATGAAAGCGTTCACTGAATACCAGATACTCTGCTTGTGGTTTTCAACCGTCTCAAACTCTTTGCTCCTTTTTAAATAATAAGTATTTTGTAATACCTTTCTTTACTAGCCTCAAATTAAAATCATAGATCATGTAGTATAACCATGAGGAGACTTTGCCAGAGAGGGGTGTGTGTGTGTGTGTGTGTGTGTGTGTGTGTGTGTGTGATGGATTGCAACTGACTTTTCTTTCTTTCTAAAAATGAAAATTACCCTTACTTTCAACTTGATAATGCAGTCCAGTAAACTAGGCCAATACTGTCCTAGAATAAACCAATATAAACTTGCTGATAATTTCACTGTTATTGACATATGAAAACTTCTAGTTCAGTTGTTCAATTTAACAGTTTAAAAAGCTGATGTCGCCAAAACCGGTTTGGCTCAGTGGATAGAGCGTTGGCCTGCGGACTGAAGGGTCCCGGGTTCGATTCCGGTCAAGGGCATGTGCCTTGGTTGCGGGCACATCCCCAGTGGGAGATGTGCAGGAGGCAGCTGATCGATGCCTCTCTCTCATCGATGTTTCTAACTCTCTGTCTCTCTCCCTTCCTCTCTGTAAAAGATCAATAAAATATATTTAAAAAAAAAAAAAAAAGCTGATGTTGGAGCATTTGAGATCTTTCTTCCCAGCATAAATTTTCAGTTTGGCTCAAATAAACTCATAAAATAACATAAAAAACAGATGTTAACAGAAATGGAGGGACAGTTTTCCAATTTGAAATCTCTATATAGTTCTAAAGGAAAACTTCTAAAATATATATATACACATATATTTGAACATAATAAAAGTTCATTATTAGGGATACACACACACACACACACACACATTATTGATTTTAGAGAGGAAGGGAGAGGGAGAGAGATAGAAACATAAACAATGAGAGAGAATCATTGATCGGCTGCCTCTCACATGCCTCACACTGGGGATTGAGTCCTCTTGCCCCCCCCCTAATGGGGATCAAGCCCACAACCCGGGCATGTGCCCTGATGGGGAATTGAACCGTGATCTCCTGGTTCAGAGGTCGATGCAAAACCACTGAGCCACACCAGCCAGGATCTAAAAGGAAAACTTTTAAAAATAATTATAAGAATAGTTTTAGCCCTGACCGGTTTGGCTCAGTGGATGGAGCGTCTGCCTGCGGACTCAGGGGTCCCGGGTTCGATTCCGGTCAAGGGCATGTGCCTTGGTTGTGGGCGCATCCCCAGTGGGGAGTGTGCAGGAGGCAGCTCATCGATGTTTCTAACTCTCTATCCCTCTCCCTTCCTCTCTGCAAAGAATCAATAAAGTATATTTTAAAATAATAATAATAATAATAGTTTTAGATCTATAGAAAAGTTGCAAAGATGGTACAGAAATTGCCCAAGTGCCCTTTACCCTGATTCTCCTACTGTTAACATCTTACCTTACTATATAGTACATGTGTCACAACCAGGAAGCCAACATTGATACATCACACTTAACTAAACCTCACACTTTATTTGAATTTTACTAGTTTTCCCTAATAGCCTTTCTCCATAGAATTTTTATAATTGATGTAATGTCCTCAGTAAAAGAAAGATTTTTTAAATGGCTTTTAAATGGTAATGCCTTAGCATGGCTATGTACTAAGACATACTGAAGTATTCATGGGTTTGCGCTATATGTGAATAACCCTGAATCCAACAGCAAAAACTGCAGATTGACCTAGGGTTTGTGCTGTCAGCTGGAGTCGAAAAATGGTATTGCCATTGTCTTAGTTCATGTTGCTATAACAATACCTAGACCAGGTAGCTTATAAACAACAGAAATTTCTCATACTTCTGGAGTCTGAAAGTCCCAGGATCAAGATGTCTGGTTCATAGATGGTGCCTTCTCACTGGGTCCTCACATGGTGGAAAGGGTGAGGATCTCTGTGGTCCTACTTTATAAAGACACTAATCCAGTGCATGAGGGTTCCACCTTCATGAACTACTCACCTCCCAAAAGCTCCACCTACTATCATCGCATTGAGGGTTAGGTTTCAACATATTGATTTGGAGAGGGAACAAACATTTAGTCTGTAGCACCAAAGGTGACGTGATTTCCCAAAACGGTGAACACCTCTTAGGAAAATTCCAAATGAAAAAGAAGTCTTACTTTGATTTACAGAGTTGATCCCAGTAGTTGGTACTTTGGAAATTAAAATTGTATAAAAAGGACTTTGCGGACTTACTCTGGAGAAACTAAGATGGCGGCATAGATAAACACCGGGAAATTGCTGCTCCCACAACAATTGAAAAATACAACAAAAACACAAAACAGACATCATCCAGAACTACAGGAAGGCTGGCTGAGTGTAAATTCTACAACTAGAAGGAAAGAAAAGCACACTGAGAGCCAGAGGAGCTGCGGAAGTAAAGTGCAGAGG